TGAGAGAGAGGATTTTTTTTCTTTCGCTGCAAAGAGCAACAGTGAGAATGGGAAGTTGACGAAAGCGTGTGAATGGTCACTTGCTTCGATGGGGATTTGCTTATATATTAGTCGTTTGGGAGTAAAATTACTGATATGCCATTAATTTCATTTGAAAACCGTCACCGATGTGGGGACCACCTTGGTCTTGGCTGTGTGCTTCCCGTCAAAATCAGGTAATCATGATATAAAAAATTTTATTGTTGTGTCGACTAAATTTCATATTCTAACATGTAATGTAAATAAAAGATGTAACCTGAAATTTATTTTAAATGGGTATTGCAGTGTCGACTAAATTTCCTACACGTTATTTTTTCCCCATATGTCAGATCTAGGTTCGGTCATGCTCTTCTCCATTATTTTTTGGATGAAGCAAAAATTAAGCACTTTCGTCTGTTTTTTTTTTAACCACTAATCATTTTTAAAGCAACTATTTGTGTGTAGTCGATAAAATTAGATGTACATAACATTTGTACCTAGCATTATTCATACAAGGCAGCAAAATTCCTAGCTGCCAAAACAATTAAGAACACTAAGAGATAATAAAAAGATGTCACAAATTGCTTGAAGCCTTCGTATATTAAATCGACATTTGCAAATATAAGAATAAGATAACACAATTGGGGTCCACCCGACGACTTGCTGATGTCTATATGTAACCCCCTGAGCACCGGACCCAATTTGACCTTTTCTTTTTGAAAAAAAAAAAAAATACAACTATTAAATTATCTCATCTCATCAGTGACTGAGTGTGCATGTGCAGGTCTCTTCCAAGCCGTCATGCCCATAGTCTTACATATAACCTATAAGCTAAAGAGCTTATCTTGGGCTTTAGTCTTGTCAAAATTTAAATAATTTGGACAGAAATTATTTAAAAATGCATGAGTCATGATTTTTACTATTTATTTTTTATTTAAAATATTTTTAATCAAATAATTATATTAATAAAAATGTATTTATTAAGAATACAGAAGTAAATGTCTAAATTCATACACTCTCAAAAGTAAATTCTTTATTTTTTTTTCCAAAAACTTATCGTTCTAATTGTCATAAGTAGAACTGCTCTACGGTTGAAGGAAAGAAGTCTAAGAAGCATGTATAAGTGGAAATGGATGATTGTAGCACTAGTGGCTTGTTGTGAAATTGGTTTTTTGGTGTCACAAGGTTACCACATTTGTTACTTACTGCTGAGTTTCTTTGTTGCATATTCTAATCCCAAATTCAATCTATAAAATGTCTTCAAGAAGTTTTACGTGACCGGTTGCAATTGAGATGTTGCCACACATAATAATTCGACCCTTAGACACATCCTATCGGACGGTTGTGATTTGAGGTTGTGGTCAATGTCGCATGCACTAAAGTCTTATTTAAAAAAAAAATGTTGAATGCGTTTAGAACACTAAAGTCTCGTTCATTTCACTGATTTAAATTTTAAATTTGAGATTTTTATAGTTAAAAGCTCTCAGAAATGTCATATCTAATTTTTTATGCTACAGTTAAAAATTCTCAAAAAATATCACATCTCAACTCAAATTAAAAATTTAAATCCACAAAGCGAACAAGACCTAAAAAATGAGGTTAATTTTAACTAGTAAATGGATGTAAATGGCAGAAGTCTTCTTTATAGGCTAGTTTTTCCATTTACGTTACTTCTTGATAATAATTGAAGTTCATTTCTTTCATTTCCAAAAATATGAATCAATCATGTACAAAATGGGATAACCTAATCAAATGCATTTCCAGTTTTCCCCTAAGAAGGGAAAAAAAATAAAAATAAAAAACTATACAGATTGTTATAAACAATCATACAATATGGTATCAATTGGACAAACTATTTGGCGAAGAATATTTGCGACAAACTTTTCTTTTCCAACAATCTTCAAGAGAACTTTTATCATTATTATTATTGCGGAAATACAATTTATAATATTGCACTATACTAAAGCTTGAGATACTGCATCGAACTTAATTTACTTCTCATAGATAAAAAAACAATAGTAATGAAAGAATGATATAAAGTAACGCAAATTTACAAATATCAAGCTTTTACCCTTTTGCCCTTCTCCTCTAAGGCCTAAGTGAAACTACCTAGAAAGAAGGCAGAAATCAGAATGTTGATCTACACCATGTCACTTATCAAACGCTTGTGCCTGTTGTAATGTTTCTCCATGAAGACCTTTGAAGCTCCTTCTATAGTCCTTCGCCATGTCTGCACGAATACCCCCAAAAAAAAATAAAAAATCCAAACAAAAACAAAACTATTTTCTTAAATTGGAAAAAGGTGCTCTGAAGGTCAATTTCGTAAACTTGGTTATAATTATGCCGTTAAGACAAGTAATTACTTGTAATGGCTGTTATGTCAGTTCCGATATTTTAGGGAAATTTTTAATAGGCTGTTATTAATTTAGTTATAGTCATCATCAACTTGCATTACAACTTTCCAACGGTAAGCAATTTGGCCCAACTGTATTCTATCTTCTCAGGATTAGTTACTTAAAAGAACTAAACTGCAGATTTCCCTAAAAGATCCTCAATACTAATCTCTGCACACACAAAAAAAAAAAAAAAAAAAAAAAAAAAAAAAGAAAAAAAAAAGAGGGGAACATCAAGCTAAATAAATTGGGGAAAAAGTGCATATGAATTTGGTTGTGAACTGTTAAGACAAGTTAGTAGTTGTAATGACAGTTCCGGTACTTAAAAAACTTGTTAATAAACTGTTATTTATCAGTTAATCAGAAAGTTGTATTAGCTGTAATAAAACTGAGCACTAAAGTTGTATCAGTTGCTTCCTTTTTCTTCTTATGTGATTGCCACTACAAGCAAGAGAGTAGATATTGCCCGATTGATACATGTCACCAAAATTTTGCTGTTGTTTATAGAAAGAATAAAATAATAATAAGAATAATAAGCAAAATAAGAGGCCTGGCGTGCTTATTTCCCAAGACCAGTTTGCAAGTATTGATTTGTATTTTTGCAACTATAAGCAAAAGGGTATGTTGACTCATAACTTGAGTTTGAGTTGTAAGCGTGCGTAGGAGAAAAATATTATAGTAAAAAAATTAAATTTAAATTTTTATAAGAAAAAATATTGTAATAATATAATTTGAGTCGTGAAATAAACGAAGTTTAAAAGACTTAAAACGACTCTATTTCTACTGCTACTAATCTAAAATCCTTTTCATTTTTCTACTCCTTAATAAATAACTGCAAATTACACAACTTGACGATCCGTATTTCTAATTTCTAAACATAAAAAAACGTGAAAAATTCCAGCAATACAAAAAAACAAAAAATCGGACTTCGCCTTATAGTATACAAGTTTCTCAAAACTAATCTATGCATTTTCATTAGGGAGATTCTTAATGGCAAAAAAAAATTCCAGGTTTTGTTTTTTTGACTTGGCCATACAAAAACAATCTATGCAGCAATACAAAAAAAAAAAAAAAAAAAAAAAAAAAAAAAAAAAAAAAAAAAAATTCAGCATACCAAAAAAAAAAAAAAAAAAAATCTGACTTCGTCTTATGGATTTTCACCGTTATCAAAACTAATTTATGGATTTTCATTAAGGAGATTCTTTGGATAAGCCTGATGTACCAGTTGGTTAGGTTTTTTTAACCGTTAAATCTGTATATTTTTATGTAATTTTATGCAAATCTAACAAAAAAAACTTAATCTATCAGTATCTTAGCGTATTGGAGAAGGTATATTTTCATTAATGTTAGAATTAGGACTTTAAAGTATATGCAAATCGCAGTTTTCTTTTCTCTAACAACAAAAAGTTTGAATTTTTCAGAGTTGCAAAACTAATATAAATCTGATCCAAATTGAAAAAACAGTAACAAAAATGAAAATCCCGCAATCTAAATTGGCCCAATATTATGTTAGTATCTACTATCTACCCATTATTGCTCCCATTTTTTCTTTTACAACAATTTGCCAAATATTTAGTTTACTTCCACTACTAACCCATAAGTAAAATAAATGTGAACTATTTTTTCTTTTCTCCAATAATAAAATTTCAAAATTTCCCACAAGTTACTAAACTGAAACAAATGCGACCCAGATTGAAAACCAATATTTCTACATCCAAAACACATAATAATAACTCAAAAAAATAGAAAGACAGCAATCTGACCTTCTCAATGGTTCCAAAGAGAGACTTGTGCCTGATTTCTCTAGCCCTGAGGTGTGCTCTGCTGCGAATTCCAAGTTGCCGGAGCAACGCCGACTTCCTCGCCGTTGCCGCCGCCGTAGGCAGCAGAGACCTGCTCTCCACTAAGCTTGAGCCGTGCCCATTTGAAGGGCTCTCACAGTTCTGATCACCGCCACCTTCTCCGCGACTCTCTGCGCTTCTCCGACGCCGTTTTGACACTTTCTTCGCGGCCGCCACCGGGGCCTCGTCATCGAGCTCCGCGAACTTCCTCAGCAGCTCGTCGGAGGACTTTTTGGTCACATGTTGAACATTAGTACTGCTGGAAGAATTCATTTTAGAGAGAGAAATTTTAATGAGAGAAGAATAATGAAGAAAGTGTGTGATTTATGAAATGTGAATGAATATATGGAGATGGGGTTTGTGTGTGATTATGAAATGAAAAATGAATATATGGAGATGGGGTTTTTTTTTTTTTATTGGGTTTTAAATCGGTGTTTAATTTTTGTGGGTGGAAAATGGACCGTTAGTGAAGAAATGGAGTGAATGATTTGGATTATTGGGAATTTGTGGGAAATATAGCCGTTAAGGAATAATGGTATGCCAGTGGTATTATTTGTATGATTGGCATGTGAGTTCGGTGGCGAATAAAGTTAATCCCAAAATTTGTTTATTCCAAGTAAAGGCAAAAAAAAAAAAATATATATATATATATATTAGACATATATATGGAGGGTTTTGTAAAAATGACTCAATAGGAAAATTTTCTTAGTAAAATAACTTTTCAAAAATTTGTATTTACAAAATGATTGCAGAACGACCATTTTTTATAAAAAAACGACCGAATGATCATTCTTCACAAAAAATAAAAAAAAGTCATTTTGTTAATTTCACTTTGTTAGATAATCATTCTAATAAATTTCTCCATATATAAATATATGTTAATGTTAGATTAATTTATTATTGAATTTAGAACGGTGAGAGTAAACGGCAAAAAGAAAAAAGAAAAAGTTAACCGAATATTAATTTCCTCATCATTTATACAAACAAACAAAAGTTTTTTTCTCGAAAACTCTCATAAATAGCAGCACAAAAACCTAAAGACGAGAAATAAATAAATGCATTCATGGTTCTTAATAAAAGCGATCACCAGAAGCGCCAGACAAGGATTTCATTCTTAAAACAACATTTAATGAGTAACAAAAGAAAAACTGGTAGATATAATAACGAGTATTGAAAAAAAAAATGTAAAGTAAAGAGTATGTATTATGGGAAAGCTTAACGAACATGTATATATAATTTCGAGTCTTTGCACTGCCTACAAAAGGGAAGAAATTAAAGACGACAACTCCTTTAAGGAAGTGGAAATTACCCGAATTGATCGTATGAGCAGAAGAACAGCAAGTTGAGCCTGCAAGAACTTGACGTACTTATAAGCAGCTTGGAACATCTCAGCAGTCTTCATCTTGTTCCCACCTGGAATCAGCTTTCCTAGCTCCTGAGTCTTCTCCGTTATCTTTCTCCTCCTCTCTCGGGCCGCGATGCTCTGCGCTGACACCGCAGTAGTACTAGTACTACCGCTACTACTATTGCCTCTTTTCATGTCACTCTTCATCTCCTGGTTTCCACAAGCATTAAAGACTAGTGCTTGTGACGACGGGAAAATGTTTACATCTCTCCAACTTGGATTTGGCACAAACGCAGCATTCGAGAGCTCAGAAGCATAAGTGAAACGACAGTGATTTTCGGACGTAGTAATCTTTTGTCGTTTGGGGTGACGTGCTTCTTCATCCTGAGAATTAACATAGGGTTTTTTTGGAGAGAGAGAAACTAAGCTGTGTTCTGCTGTGGAGTAGAAGTTCGGAAGAAAAGCTGTACTGCAATCCTTGACATTCGTATCGAAGAGTGAATCGATGGAAGTGTTGGAAAGTGACAGATTATTATCATCGTCGAAATCGAAGAAAAAGGATGAATCCAGCTCTGTCTGTGTTTGTGGAAAGTTGATATAACTCTCTGGGCTAATCAGACTTTGGAGAGAAGAAGAGCCCAAATTGTAGCAAAGCTTAGAGCCATGGAGATAAAAGATAGACGTCATGCGTGAGATTATTATGTATCAGAAGACAAATAACTGGAGGAAAATCATGACAAAGGTTGGAAAGAAAAGTATTTGAAAAGATATTGTCTTGTCTTGTGTAGTTTGACGAGACTACGAACTAAATTATCAAACTATACAAACTAATAACCATACGAATCTGCCGACCGATAGTTAGAAGTTAGAACTTTTAAGAGAGAGAGAGAGAGAGAGAGAGAGAGAGAGTGAG